TTTTGTTTTTTTAGGAAAAAAAAATTTTCCGTTTTTTTTCTGCAATTTTTTTTTTTTTTTTTTGTTCAATAAAAAAAAAATGCAAATGTTTGCAAAATTTTTATTGTTATTCATTCAATTTACCAATTTCAATCAAATTCAATCAACAAATTATGTCCATCAAAGCAGATTTATTATCATCATCAAAGTCAATTCGTTTTTTTTGCTTAATATTCGAAAAAAAACTGAAGATCCTTGCAAGAAAATAGCCAAAGTTTTTTTTTGTTGATGGGTGGTGTTTTATGTTTCATTTTGCGTTACTTTTTTCGTATTGCTTCTATGGTTTGTTTCCAATGAATCAATGAATCACTAAATTATTTGTTGTTCACTAAAGACTTTCTCTTTTCCTCTTGTTCAATCAATCATTCTGCTTCTAAAATAATTCTATTGGTTTTTGGAACAAAAAAAAAATGACATCGATTCTTTCGATTGATCGGAATCATAATCGATTACTATCGATATTATCGATAGTAATGATTGTTTCGATATTGTTATTCCATTCATCATCCGCTGCTATTCCGAATAAACAATTAAAAGCATGGGGTGGTATATCTTCCACTGATCAATTACGTAATTCGAATGAACAAAATGATGATAATGTTGGATCCTCATCATCATCATCAACGACGACGACGACGACGACCACAAATCTGGCTACAAACAATAATGATGATAATAATGATGGTCAACAATCGACAACACCATCAATGAATCTTAATTCTTCACAACCATTAATGTTAAATGGTACAATATCACCACAGCCACCACATTTAGTTGTTTCAGGTCGTTTAGTAAAACCTACAATTGCACAACCATTGTTTCATTCATCTGCATCATCCGCATCATCTTTGTTTCGTGCACCAATTAATAATGCCAGTAAGTTTCCAAATGATGATAAAATGTTCGAATGATAATGATGATGATGATGATTTTCTAGCCACACTGATGAGAGGACCAAGTGTTTATTATGGAACACCATTAATTTTAAATCATAGTAAGTTTTTTTTTTGGTTGGAATTTGAGAATCACCAATTTTAATTTGATGGAATTTTCGTTATCTTTTAGCAATACCGATACCACATACACCAAGCCATTGGCGTATGTCATCATCATCATCATCATATCAACAGCAGCCATTATATCGACAACAATTTACAGGAACGTCGATGGTTAATCAAACTCAACCACCATCATCATCATCAGTCGATCATACACAACAACAATTTTGGTCATCATCATCTTCGTCGTCGTCGACACCAAATCAACCGATGATAACAAATGTCGCTGATACTAATGTTGATGATATTTCTGAACGAACTGTTGCCGATGAAGCAAATCAAACCGGAACCAATGACGAAACAGGCAATGTTGATAATAATGATAATAATGATGGAACATCACATCGATCATTTTTCAGTGATTTTGGTTCATTTTTTGGTAAAGGTAAACATTTATTAGCCAAAGAAGATGAATACGTTGAAGATGAATATGAAGAAGAAAAAAAGATAAAATTACCACCTAAAAAACTTTTGGGAAAATTGGGTGGTAAAAAAGATGAAAGCAAAAAACTTTTAGCCATACCGGTTCAAGAATCAGAATATGAAACTGTTGCACAACCTGTTGTCGAAGTAAAACCGGTTAAAAAATTGAAAATTAAAAAACCCAAAATACAACCTGTTGCCGTAGCTGCTGATGAATATGCTGCTGCTCCAGTACAACCAGTTGCATCCGGTTATGGTTATGGTGCAGCACCACAAGCACAACCATTATTAAATTCTGGTTATGCACCGGCACCACCTATGCCATATCCTGGCCATTATCGAATCGATTCACAACCAAAAGGAAAATTTAGTAAGTTTTTTTTTCGGAAACAATTTACCAAATAGATTTTAATCAATCCTTTAGTACCACATTTTCGACAAAATTCAACCGAAAACATTAATGATAATGGATCGACAACTTTGATTACAGAAAATTCAGATCCTAATACCAACATCAATTCTACTCTTCTTGAATCAAGAGGTATAAATAGATTTTGAATGATGATGATGATTATGATAATTTTCTTCCATATCCATTTTTTTGATAAATTAGAAACATTGACCGGAGTACGTTCAACACCAACATTTCGTAGCCAAATAATTCCAGGATATTTAGCACAAGAAGTAACTGGAAGTCAATCATATTTGAATTTTAGAAATTCTTCCATATCATCAACAAATGCAACCAAAGTTGATGATCGTAATAAATATAATCTATATTCGGCCGGTGTACCGCAAGCATCAGTTCTTGCATATTCTCCTCCTCTTCCTTCATATTCTTCTCCACCAGCATCATCATATGCCGGATATCCACCACCAGCTCAATATCCTTATGCATATCCGGCTGCTCCTGTTTATTCACCTGCACCACCTGTTTATTCACCGCCAGCTGCTCCTGCTGCTGTACCAACTTTAGGTTATACACAAGTTTTAAACCAAGTATTGGATTATTATCCATCGGCAGCATCATCATCAGTTTATCAAAATAATAATTATTCCAGCCAATATGATTATTCAATGCCTGTTGCTGTTGTCAATGTATTCTGTTCGGATCCACATTATCCATGTTCATGTACAATATATTTGACCGAAATTAATTCATATAATATGCTTATATCGGGTGTTTGTTCCGGTTAGTATCATTGTTGATGATGATGAATAGTTTTTCGCATATCTTAAATTCTTTCTCTCTCTCTCTAATCATTTAGGTTTGCCTAAAGATTCTAAATTTATGATGAATTTATATCCATCTGGTGATATTACAGCTGGTTGTAATGCACTTGGCGGATATAGTTCGATTGGTTATCGTAATCCTGCTGCTCCAATCATTGAATTAGGTGCCGTTAAAAGTGATTATCAAGGTGTTGCTTTCGTAAACAAATTGAAACATGCATCAATCGGTGTAACATGTGATAAATATGGCTATAAAGATTCAATATTAGGTCGTGCAGTTGGCCTAGTTCAAATGGCAATTCCAGTTGCAGTTCCGGTTCCATATGTAGCACCAACACCATCAGTCTATCGACGAAGTGCAGGAGGATATTCTCAACCACAGTTACCACTTGTTGGTGTTAGTAGTGGTTATGGTGGCGTTCAATCACCACTTGTTCTTCCGACTTATACAAATTCTGGTAAAATAGCCGCTTGTGGTGTAATTGGTTTGGCCGGTAAAGATAATAGCTATGAAACTCGTGAATTAAAATCCAAATTAATTGCCAATGCTAAACATGAATAGAATGAATGACCAGCATAATTAACAGTTTTTTTTCTTCATTACCATCATGATGATAATTGAATAATTGTGAAAACAACAACAACAACATATATTTATTATTTTATAAATGAACAAAACAAAAAAAAAAAATTTGGAAATAAAAATATTTAAATCAAAAAACAAAACAAAAACTCAAATATTGAAATGACCCTTATCACAAAATTCAATTTAATTTGTTTTAGTTTTTTGTCATCAGAATTTTGGTAACATTTCATTTCATTTTGGATTTTGAGTTTGAAACAAACAAACAAACAAACAAAAATGATGATGATACCTGCAACAGCATCAATGACTGTTATGTTATTAACAGTTGCCTATTATGCATTACGTCGTCAAACTAATCATAATTATTTTGTAAATAGTCCATTACCGGTAAATGAATCAAATTTTGATTTTATTATTATTGGTGGTGGTACTGTTGGTTGTATATTAGCAAATCGTCTTACTACCGAATTAAATGCAACAGTTTTAATGTTAGAAGCTGGTGGTCCACAATCAGTTATTACTGATATGATTGGTAATACACAATATTTGATTGGTGGTGAATTTGATTGGAATTATCATGTTCAACAACAACATTATGCTGGTCTTGCATATCCGAATTTTACCATTACCAGAGGTATGTTGATTATATCCCCTTGATTGTACCATTGATTGATTATCTGTTGAAAACAAAAGGTAAAGTTCTTGGTGGTACATCAACAACTCAATGGGGTATATATAATCGTGGTAATCCGAATGATTATAATAATTGGTCACAACGTTATGGACTAACAAATATGACATGGCAAATGGTTTTACCATATTTTTTAGCATATGAAAATAATACCGATCAACAATTACAATCGAATGGTTATCATCGTTCAGGTGGTTTAGTATCAGTATCAACTGAAACTGAACCTGATCCGGTTCTTATAGATTTTCGTTCATTAATGAATCGTCTTGGTTATCCAACAATCGATTTGAATGGCCAAACACAATCCGGTACAGCAATTGCACAAATGTTTTATAATTCAGATACTGGTATTAAATCAACAACAGCAAATTCTTATATTGAATCAATTAATCAAACCACAGGTTTAACAATTATAACACGTGCATTTGTTGAACGTATTTTATTAACAAATAATTCACATGCACATGGTGTTGTATTTAAACGTAACAATACTGAATATCATATGTATGCAAATAATGAAATTATCTTAACTGCTGGTCCAATAAATACACCACAAGTACTGATGTTATCTGGAATTGGACCACGAATTCATTTGGAAGAATTAAATATACCTGTTGTAAGAGATTTACCTGTTGGTAATAATCTTCAGGATCAGGTATTTGTACCATTATATTATCGTATTGATAATCAAACAACGAGACAAGTTGATCCATATCCACGATTTGATGTAACAAATCTTTATGAATATTTTCATAATGCATCTGGACCATTGGCACATCATGCTGATGGTGTAACATATTATTCATCATCAGTGAATCCAAATGGAACCAATTGGCCCGATACAATGATTATTTCAGTTGTTGAATTTTTCAATAATCTTAATGCAACCGTTGAGCAATATGCATCAAATCAAAATGAATGGAGACAATATTGGCAACCATATTCAAATGATGGTTATTATTTGGCAATTGATCCAGTACTGGCAAGACCAACAAGTCGTGGTACAGTACGATTAAATGCTACGAATCCATTATCAGCACCATTAATCGATCCAAATTACCTGAGTAATCGAACAGATTTTGAAGCATTATTAGATGTAACAAGATTTATTGTTCGTGCACTTCAACGTTATCCATTAACAGGTGTAATGCAATTTCCACCAATACCTGGATGTCCATTAACTGGTTGTAATTTAACAGAAACATTATGTGAAATATATCTTCGTTGTCATATTAGACAATTATCGCGAAGTTATTATAATTTTGCCGGTACAGCACGTATGGGTTTAGCAAATGATACCGAAGCTGTTGTTGATCCAGAATTTCATGTAATTGGTTTTAATAATTTACGTATTATCGATGCATCAATTATACCTGAAATACCAAATGGTCATATTATTGCTGCAACAATTATGTTAGGTGAAAAAGGTTCGCAGCTAATTATTCAAGATAATCAATGAATGAAAACAAAAAATTCAATTCGATGAATATTTTTATTAAATATATAATCAAAAATCAAAAATCAAAAATCAAAAATCAAAAATCAAAAATAAAAAATAAAGCAATGTCGAGAGCCAAAAAATTCTGTTTACAAACATATTGCCCGGTCAAATTTTCTGATGAATAAATGATGATGATTGAAAAACGAAATGTTTAAAAAATATATTATTTACAAAACAAAATAAACATTTATTGTTTTTGTTGTTGTTGTTTGACGAGAAGGAAACAAAAAGTATCATACAAGAATAAAATGAATGACAAAAAAGGGTTAAGTTGTTGTTTGTTTGTTTGTTGAGTATGTTTTTTTTGAAAAAAAAGAAGAAGAATATTCCATATTTTTTTTTGTTGAAAATAATAATAATAATAATAATAAATCAGCGAGAATCAATATATTATTAATTTTGAAAAAATAAGTTTTGTTGTTGTTTTTGTTTATAAATCTAAATATGATATGAATGAATGAATGAATGAATGATGATGATAAACAAATTAAGCAAAAGAAAATCAAACAAAAGAAAAATGGATTGATGATGATGAAAATAATAACTTTTTTTTTTTTTTTTTGGTTATATAAAATTTATTTTGAATAACCACTATTTAAACTATTACTGCTTGTACGTTTATGATTATGATTATTATTATTTGATGAATTATTATTATTAATATTACAATTTAAACGTTTTGATAGATTCGTAACTTTATCTTTATGTTCATATGTTAAACGTTGTATAATTTGATTACAATCAATAAAATGTTCACATAAAACTTTTGATCTTTGTATATTTGCACGTATTATATCATTGATACGAACACATTTACGATCAATTATATTTATTTTTGTTGATGTTCGTTGTTGTTGTTGTTGTTGCGATTGTTGTTGCGATTGATTATTATTATCAATTTCATCATATAATGTTGTCATTGCAGCACATTTTGAAAATGGACTAATTTCATTTTCCAATTTTGTTAATAATAATTCTAATCGTTTCTGTGTAAATGATTCTTCATCATCAGCTAATTTTTTACATTGATCCGTTAGTATAAAATCTTTCCATTCATTTTGTTTTCGTACATCATTCAATAAATCTTGTAATGTTAATTTTTTATCATTTTTTGGTTTTACATCATTATAGCTTGAAAATTGTGGTAATTTACCATTTGTATGATAATTTATAATCGATAATCTTGGTTTCTTTATAGAAATTTTCGTTTGTTGTTGCTGCTGTTCGTATAAATCTTTATAATCCGTTTCTTTTAAACATAATTGTTTTTGCTGTTGTTGTTGATTATTATTATTATTATTTTGATTAATTAATAAATGATGATGATTATTATTATTATGTTGATCATTAATTAATTGTTGTTGTTGTTGTTGATGATGATGATGATTAATAGTAACAGATGATGATGATGATAATGTATTTAATTTATTTCTATTATTTAATGATGATGATGATGATGATAATGGTTCTAATAATTGTTTACGTGGTTTCTTTCTCGATGTAAAATTATTATTATTATTATTAATTTCGATACAATTCTGTGTAATGCTGCTATTGTTGTTGTTGTTGTTGTTTGATTCAATTTTATTCGTATCAATAATGTTTACATTTATTAATGATTTATCATTAGTTATTATAGTTGGAAGATGTTGTTGATTTGTTGTTGTTGTTGTTATTGTTGAATGATGATTGACATTTGATGATGATGATGATGATGATGATGTAATAAATGCTATCGATCCATTTGTATTATGTAAATTATTATTATTATTATTTGATTTAATTGTAATCGATGTTGGTAAATCATTTATCGTACGTTTACGGCTTAATATTCGAGGCCTAGGTGAACTTGGTGTTGTTGTTATTGATTGATTATGATGTTGTATTGGAAATGATAAATTTGTTGCCGTTGATTTGATTGGTGATAAATTATTACTATTATTGATTGTTTGAATATTCATTGCTTGTTTTGTTGCTGTTGTATTATTATTATTAATATTAGCAATAGCAATTGAAGATGTTGTATTTGATGATGATATAATATTCGATGTTTGATGATTATTATTCGATTGTTGTTGATGATTAGTCATAATCGGCTGTAATGTTGTGATAATATTCGAATTATTTAATACATTTGTTGCATTTTGATTAGCTGTATTCACCGTATAAATTGTAGTTGGTGTTGATTTTGTTGTCATATTTGTTGTTGTTATCGTCGTTGTTGATGATGATGGTAATGTCGATGAATTGGATGAATGAATAGCCGATAATGTTGTTACTGTATGATGTTGTTGTCTTGAAAGTGGTATACGATTGGCGGGAAAATTTGCCGAACTAATACTAACCATATTAGTGATACCGGAAGCACCTGTTGGTGTTATAATAAAATTTTTTGGCAAATTTATTACAGCTGATTTAGCATTAGCATTACTGCTTAAAATTCCAAAACGTGTTGCTGTTGCTTGACATGATTGATGTCCACTTGCATTATTTATACTGATCATTTTTGGTGTTGTTTGTGCTGTAACCAATGCAGCAGTTGCTGTTGACGATCCAGTTAATTGTTTTGGGCCATTAATCTTATACAATGATTTTATTTCCGAATTTTGTGCATTCGTTTTCAGATTACGAACTTCATTCGGATTCGAAATCATTAGATTTACCGTTTCAACATTACCTGCGGTAATAAATTTCTGACCGGTAATCATCTGTTTTACTGAATTTGTCGTTACATTTGATGTTGTATTATTGTTTGGTGGGCCAACACTAGTAGCAACGGCCGATGATGCAGCCGCTACAGTTGAAAGATTTAACAATGGTATTGTCGTACTTGGATGATTTCCTTGTCCACTAATAACTCTTGTTCGTACAGAAATTGCTGATGAATTTGATGATGGAAATGTTGTCGATATTGTCTGTGAATTTGGCAATGAATTTCCAGTTGAATTTCGTACAGAATTCTGTATCTGTAATGTTGTACCACGTGTTGTATTAATACGTGGTTGTAATATGACTGTTTGTTGTCGTGTTGATGGATTCAATTTGGCTACCATAACACTTAATGATCCCATTTGAAATTGGCCGGCTGTTGTTGCTGTTGTATAGAAATTATTTGTATTATTTGTAACAACATTTTTTGCTGCATTTGAATATGATAAATTTAATGATGATGATGATGATGATTGGCCTGTTGATGTATTAGCTGTATTAGTAGCAATTTCCATAGGTGTATTTGCTGGTAAACATATACCAATTTGTTTCAAATCATTTTTCGTTACTGTTGTTTGTTGTGTTGTAACATTTGCAGATGGTGGCGGTGGTTGCGGTGGAGGAACCGGATTCGAAACTGTCGTTGATGAAGACATTATGATGATTCTAAACAAAGAATAAGAGGAGAAAAAACATGAAAATAATTATGAAACAAAAAACACCAAACATACTCATATGGTCATTCGATTCAATGAAATCAATGTAAATTAGTTAATTTTTTTTTGAGAATCAATTTTCCAATACCAAACAACAAAAAAAAAAAGAAAGAATCGATTTTATCTTTGAATACTTTTTCTTCGTTTTCGTTTAGAATTTTCAATAATTTTCATTAAATGATATTTTTGTCGAATATTGTTTATTTCAAATTTTTCAACATACATTTGATTAACAATATCTATTACAGTGAAATTTATTTTTTAGAAACATAAACATCTATTCAAAAAAAAAACAAAACTCACACATTGGGCAATATTATTATTATTGTTATATTTGTAAAAGTTTAATAATAATGATGATGCTAAAACAACAACAAACAAACAAACAAAAAAAAAATCCAAGTTTTGAGCCAACAACAACAAAACAAAACAAAACGAAAAAAAAGAAGATAATTTTAGGAAACATCCACACACACACACACAATTCAAACACCAAAACACAGAAAAAACTTAAATCAAATAAAACTTTTTCTTTTTTTAAAAAAAATGATCAAAGAGAGACAGCAACTTATTAAAAAAAAAAGTTGAATTAATTGAAATCAACGATAAAAAAACCTCGACGATTCAATCACCAAAAAAAAAAAAAACACAGCAAAACACAGCACACAACAAACATATAGAGATCATATACAGAGTTCGACATCATTTTTTTTTTTTTTTTAACATTATTTTCCCAAAAAATGTATGGCCCGATCCGTCGTTTATGCGAGTGGTTTGTGTGTATGCGAGTGATAGTAATGCCGCCTATCGGAAAAATTTTATTTAATTTTTTTTCAATAAGATTCGAATTGCGCACTGCCTGCATGGCAAATTGATAATGCGCATGTGATAATCATTGTTTTTTGTTTTCTCAGTGAAGCATGCACTACTCCCTCCTATTTTTTTTTCTTATTTTTTTTTTGTTGAAATAAATATGACATGCGCAAAAAGAATGTTGTTGTTAACGAAAATCGAACATATCAATTCATCATATGTTTTTTTTTTGTTCTGATGATTGCGCGCGCAAAATTGATTTTGAAAAATGAATTAAATTGATTTTTTTGGTTAAGATTCTTTTATTCATCATTATCATTATCATTAACATTTTGATCATCATCATCAGACAAATTCAAATAAAGAACAATAGGACAATGATCACTACCCATAATATGTTTATAGATACGATTATCGATTAGATTTTTTTCAATACGTTTGGATAAAAGAAAATAATCTAAACGCCAACCAATATCTTTTGCTCGACAATTAAAACGATAACCCCAATATGTATAACATTTACGTTGATTTGGATAAAGTAAACGAAATGAATCAATAAAACCCGAATTAAGTAGACAATCAAAATCGGCACGTTCTTCCGGTGTAAAACCGGCTGTTTTGGTATTTGTTTTTGGATTTTCTAAATCAATTTCTTTGTGAGCACAATTCAGATCGCCACAAATGATAACTGGTTTTTGTTCATCCAATTTTTTCAAATATTCACGAAAATCTTGATCAAATTTCAATTTAAAATCCAAACGTTTTAATCCTTGTCCAGCATTAACAACATAAGCATTAACAAGTATAAAATTATCATAATAAGCAGTTATAATTCGACCTTCATCATCAAATTCACGTTTACCAATACCATATTCAACTGATAATGGTTTTTGTTTGGAAAATAATGCAACACCAGCATAACCATCTTGTTTAGACGAAACATAATATTTATATGGAAATTTTGGCCATTGTTTCAATTCCAATGGAAATGTTTTATCATTACATTTGGTTTCTTGAATAGCTAGAATGTCACAAGATTCAGATTCAAGAAATTTCAAGCAACCATTTTTCAATGCAGCACGAATACCATTTACATTCCAGGATATAATTTTTAAATTGAATGGTTTCATCATTTTTTCATCATTATTATTATCATCATTGCTTTCCGTTGAAATTGTTGAAGATTGTTGTTCATCATCATTATCATCATCGGATTTTGGTACAGTTTTAATCTTTTTTCGTTTCGGTGGCATTATTGTTGTTGACGATCACCGAAAATGCAAATTAACGATGTTGAAACGAAATGAAAAACAACAAAACTCAATGAATGAATAACCGCCAATGCCAACCGATTCATAGATACGGCCATCTATCGATAAAATCTGCCAACAAAAATATATGGCCATGTGTAATGCGAACGAAAATGTTTATCGTTGAGAATTGTATTGAGAATTATGATGACCAAACAACAACAACAACAACAAATTAAATCGATTCGTGTGATTCCTAAATTATTATCATCATCATGTTCAACAAATAATAATTTATTTCCATCCAAATTAAAATTATCATATAGATGGTTTATCGATGATGATGATAATGATAATGATAAAAATAATCGATTATCAATAATTCATATCGATTGTCGATTCGAATGTTTTCAACTAATATATTTTCTTTATTGTTTCAATCATTATTCAACATATCGTAAACTTGTTTGGGAAAATCTTTCGAAATTATATTCTACCGACGATAGTCATTTAAATTTATTAATCAAATGTTGGTTACAAGATAATCCACCGAATCCAATTCGTTATCAAAATATCGATACTGATTGGTGTCAACGAATACAATATTTTGTTACATTACGAATGGATTTAGAAGAATCATCATCATGGTTATCAACATTAGGTGGTGCTTATTCATCACTTGGTGATAAAAATCAACAATTTGCTTATGAAGCTGAACAAATATCATGGAAACAGATGAAATTATCATTAATATTTGGTGATCCTAATCTTGTTTGTCGTTGTTTAATCTATTTATGTCATAGTTGGTGTCAACAAAAAAGACGTCGCCAAGCTATAAGATTAATTCGTTATTATCTTTATCCATTATTATTATCATCAACAACAACAACATCAACAAATAATGATGATCGTATTGTACGAAGAATGTATCAGGCACTTTGTTTTCGTATACGTTATATTTATAAATGAAAAATGAAACATCCACATCCCTTCTCTGTTGTTATGTTATTAAATATATATTTATTTTCACATCTATAAAACTGTTTTTAAATTTTAAATTCAATAATGATTAGTTGGTGTGTATGTCAAAGAGAGAAAGAGAAATATATAGAAAAAAAAATAATGAGTAATGTTTGCGGTGTGTGTGTGTGTGTGTATATGTTAAAAGATGAAAAATAATCCAGTTCAAGTAATAAAAAAATCATTATAGAAAAGAAAAAAAGAAATGAAAAATAAACTGTTATCAATTATCAATCCATAGATTCATGTTATGAGAAAATTGCCTTTGAAATTTTTTTTAAAAAATCGAGATTTTCTTGTTGTTTGTATGTTTTGTTTGGTGGAGAAAAAAATTGTTGTCCAGAATTGATGGAAAAAATAATTAATATTCTCCTTCAGCAGCCAATTGATCAACATCATAATCATCATCACCGGCAACAGCATTTGGTGATGTAAATCCATCTTCAACTGCATATAATATATTCAATATTTGATCTTTAATCTCTTTTTCGGCTTCATTTGTTGATTCATTTTGACATAATACTTCAATTTCACGTAATTTACTAAAATAAAAATTACGTTCACGTGCCAATGTATCATTAAGTAAGGATAATTCATTCATCTAAAATAGGAAAAAAAAGATACAATTTATAAATGAGATTAAGATCCAGATTTCCAATTACAAATCATACCTTTTCATCCAATTTTTTTACATCTGTATCAATATCATTTTTTCGAACATTATTATTCGAATAACCGGATGGTCGTGTAGAAGATTGGACAATTTTATTGTTTGTTGGAACAAATGCACGTGGTTGATGTGATTGAACAACAGCTGGTTTACTGTTCATCATGCCAATTGTTCGACCACCACCACCAATACCAGAAGCAGAATGATTTGAAGCATTTGCTGAACCCATTGGTTGTCGTCCACGTGCTTCATATGGATTATAATCACGTCCATCATAATTTGCATCGAAAAATTTTTTAAACCATTGCAAAAATTCAAAATTATCTTGAAATCGTCCTTTGACCAATTTATTGATCATTATTTCCTATTAGAAAAAAACAAAATTAATTAAAATCAATCAATTTGAAAACAAAACAAAACAATAAATTGTACCTTATCACAGCCAACTTTTTTAAATGCTGCTTGTAATAGTTTAAAATTTTGAATATATTCATGTTCCAGATTGGTACGAAATTTAACTTTTTTCAATTGAATCGATCCAGGAAAAAGCATATCCATAAATTGACAATAAGCCGCACCTAACCAAAAAAAAAATTGAAATTTCGTTTTTTTCAAATAAAATTTTTACAAAAAAAAAACAAAACAAATAATACAAACCTGAACATAATTCTTCAACTTTTTTAAAATCAGCTTCTAATGATTCATCAACCCAATTAAGCATTTCATGCCTACTTAAATTTTCTGATGTAGCCGATGTTTGATAAACATTAACACATTGATATGCTTGACAATTTCCATCCATTTTTTTTTTTTGCAAAAAATTTTGATTAATTTCCGGTATTTTTTTATCAAATTCAATTAATCATTCAATAATCAAATCAATTTTATATCGAATAATATCGGCAAAAAGTTCAATTAAATTTATCTTCTTTTTTTTGGTTGCCAAACAAAAAAAAAATCAATAACCTTTCGACACTGAAAACAAAACAAAACAAACGAAATAAAAAAAAATGGATTTGTGGCACAAACAGAGTGAAAAATAAATCAAAAATCAAAAAAACAGAACGATGATAATGATTTATTAATTTTTTGTTTTCTTGTTTTGTTTTTGTTGTTGTTATTTCTTCTTATGGTTATCTATATTGAAAACATCACATCGCACAGACATACAAAAAGAAAAAAATGATTATCATCAAACACACAAGCCACATATACAACAATCAAAAATTTTCTTTTCTTTTCTTTCTTTGTATATATATCTCTCGGTATATAATATTACAAACAAGCAAGCAAACAAACAAGATGATGATGATGCTGACGGAACGATGATCAAAATGATGATGATGAAGGAAAATAAAATAAAATTGGTTAAAACAAGAACTTGAAGAACAGATTTTTTTTTCTTTAATGGCAAAAAAAATAAGAAAAATAGACGAAGAGTTTGACGACTTTGATTGAGATTTCTTTTTCTTTTTTTTTCCGAATACGTTAACCAATTCGAACATATAAAAAGTGTGCTCATATCATCTCATTCAACCGAATCATATAAAAACCCGATCCGGTTGAATCCGAAAGGTGGCGCCGTTATCCACCGCCACTATCACCACATCTACCACCACATCTACTCTCTGTTACCGTATGCCACTACTTATCGAATTTTTAATCGGGCGGGTACTTTTTTTTCTTTCATTCTCTTCATTTTTTACCCTCCTTATTCGTTCGGGTAACGTTCGAATATTTTGGAACGCCATCTTTTGAAATGTAAACAAAATTTATTTGATGTTCGAATTTGATTTTTTTTATTGATTTTTTTAAATTGATTTTTAAATTTTGTTTTTAAATTTTTTTAAATTTTTGGAATTAATTTAACTAATCGTACACTACCAGCAGTTGGTACTAATAATCGAAGATATTGTTGTGGTTTTAATGTACCAATAAAAGAATGATTTGTATCTTTGGCAAATAAATCATAAACATCATAGCTAATTGTTTCATTCAATTCAGGTATGATTGATGATAATTTATATGACATCTGTAATTATTAATTTAAAAAAAACGTTAATTAATCAATTTATCAAACAAATTACAAATTAACATACATATTGATCAGGTCCTAATTGATTGCCATAAAAATAAAGTATAGCCCATGGATTTAATCGATAATGATCATGATCATTATTTATTGGTGATAATTTTTTTGTCCATACTTGTATAGACCAATTATGTTTCTAAATGATTAATTTTTTAAATTTTTAATTACAATTTTTTGTTTTAGAAATAATAAAATTCGATGAACACACTTACTTGTATGACCAATGATGCCATAATACCTAATGGATCTTGATCAATGGCAATCAATTCTTTATTTAATAAAATTTCTTTCATTTCTGGCCGAATGGAACGTAAATCGTTTGACATTAATAATGGTGCTGACCACATACACCAAAATGCCATTTGTGTTTTACTTTGTTCCAGTGATAAACCATTATTACCGATAATTAACATATCCGGATCAAACCAACCACCAGGACCATGATATTCACGAAATTGTTCATTATTTTCACCATAATATTTAATAATTTCAAATATACTTTCATATGAATCAACAATATCACCAAAATTACGCCATAGATTACAATATTGACGAATATCTGCATATGTTTCATCAGTAATATTTGCTAAATATGCTGGCCAACTACATGCATACAGAATTGGATGTTCAACATTTGCTAATGCATATGAATATTCTGGATATGTAAAATTATATGTATCATTTTTAGCAAAACAACCATCTAATTTTAATGAATCAATCGACCAATCGGAAAATGTTTCGGCATCAATAAATGTATGATCAATTGAATTAAAATATGTACCAGGATAACCACCACATGTTTCTGTACCAACATCTTCATAAATACCAAGTAAAACATTTTTCGAATGTGCATATTTTGCTAATTCATCAATACCGGATGGAAATCTTGTTTGATTTGGTAATAATCGTAATGTTTTTGGATCACGTTGCATTGACATCCAACAATCATCAATATTAACATATTTATAACCGGCTTCAAGATAACCATCCTCAACAATTCGATCAATCATATTACGATAAAGATTTTCATCAATACAATCATCGGGATATGTTTTACAATCAATTATACATGCAAATCTCATCCATGATAGCCATCCCATTGGTGGACGACGTGCAAGACCATTATCCAAACCATAAATCGATGTAAATAAATAACCAAAACAAATTAACAAAAATATAAATTTCGTCGTCATCATCATAATCATCATTGATTATCAACTTGTCATGTAGTGTATACAAACAAACCAAAAAAATGAATGACAACAAGAAGAAAAATTCAATCGATCGAATCATCCACTAAATCAAATCATTTTTATATCAAAATTTTTTTTTTTGTCTTGTTCAATGCCAAACAAATCGTTGTTTCAAAATTGATAAGAAATCATCACTATGATGATTATGTCAATGATCTTCGATTAATCATCATCATCATCATTTTAAACAAAACAAATTTGAAGATAAAATACTTTACTGTTGCTGGTATCCGCCTTTTTCAAAACAAAAAAAAATCAATCAAAAATTAGATCAATAACATCGTTAATTTAAAAAAAAATGATAAAATTCCAATTGACAATTGTCATTTGATCTTTGTAACCGCGTGATCAAAAATACCTCAACAATTAACGAACGAAAACAAAAGAAAATGATAAAAATCTTTTATTAATTATCAATTTTTTTCTGATTAATTAATTAATGATCCACTTGACGAAATCAGAAAAAATTTCTGACGTATTTTAAATATTTTTTGGCAATAATTTAACAATCCTTACACTACCAGATGTTGGTACTTTCAATCGAAGATTTTGTTCTGAATTTATTGTTTCCAAATATGATTCATTTTTCGTTTTACCAAATAAATCATATACATCATATTCGATTGTTTTGTTTGTTGTTGCTTCATCATCGATCAATGATGATAATCGATACGAAATCTATTGATAAAGAGAAAAATTGATAAAATTTTTTTCACTTTTTTAAAAGAAAATGATAAAAATTTACATATTTCGGTGATCCTAATTGTTCGGAATTAAAATAAAGTATTGCATATGGATGATGTTTATCATGATCACTCGATTTGGATAATTTTTTTACCCAAACTTGATGCGAATTGGATTTCTATTTGTAAAGAAAAATCAATCAATCAATCAAAAAGTTTCAAATGAAATCAATCAAAAAGATGAAATGAAATGTACATACTATTGAAATTTTTTTCGCCATAATACCTAATGGATCTTGATCGATTGCAATCAATTCTTTATTTAATAAAATTTCTTTCATTTCTGGCCGAATGGAACGTAAATCATTTGACATAAATAATGGTGCTGACCACATACACCAAAATGCCATTTGTGTTTTACTTTGTTCCAATGAAAGACCATAATTACCAATAATNATGAAATGAAATATACATACTATTGAAATTTTTTTCGCCATAATACCTAATGGATCTTGATCGATTGCAATCAATTCTTTATTTAATAAAATTTCTTTCATTTCTGGCCGAATGGAACGTAAATCATTTGACATAAATAATGGTGCTGACCACATACACCAAAATGCCATTTGTGTTTTACTTTGTTCCAATGAAAGACCATAATTACCAATAATCAACATATCTGGATCAAACCAACCACCAGGACCATGATAACGACGAAATTGTTCATTATGTTTGCCCATCAAATCAATAATACCTTTAACACTTTGATATGAATCAACAATATCATTAAATTGTCGCCATAAATTACAACTTTTTCGTATTAATTCATAATCATTATCGGAAAAATCTTGTTTAAAAAATGGCCAACTACATCCATATAGGATTTTATGTTCTGGACCAGAAAATGAAAAAAAAAATTCATTCATTCAATAAGTTCAAACAAACAAATGAAAAAAAAAACTTACCAACTTCGCTTAATGCTTTTGAATATTCAACATAAGTAATATTGAATTGTTTATTATCAGCATAACAACCATCAACTTTGATTGAATCAATTTTCCAATCGGAAAATGTTTCGGCATCTATATAAGTATGATCTTTACCTTGATAATATGTTCCTGGATAGCGGGCACATGTTAATGTACCAATATCTTCATATAAACCAAGTAGAACATTTTTTGAATGTGCATATTCGGCTAATCCATTAATACCGGATGGAAATCTTGTTTGATTTGGTAATAATCGAAATGTTTTTGGATCACGTTGCATTGACATCCAACAATCATCAATATTAACATATTGATAACCGGCATCAAGATAACCATCATCAACTAATCGATCAATCATATCTTTATATAATTTTTCATTAATACATTCATCCGGATATGTTTGACAATCAATTTCACATGCAAATCTCATCCATGATAGCCAACCCATTGGTGGACGACGTGCTAAACCATTATCCCAGCCCGATATCATCATCGATAATGGTGAAAACAACATCACCAAAAAAGCAATCAAAGATTTATTCAGCATCATTATGTTTGAAAAACAAAAGAATAACTTTATCAAATTGGAAAAAAATGATCACAGAAAATCAACCCTTGCTACCAATTTTTATTTATATGTAAAAGAAATGATCGGTAATTATCATTATCATTTAGTTAATTGTAATTAATTAATTAATCATTATCATTATCGAGATGTGTGCCACAGGAGAGACCCTTATATATTTGCACAAATAAACAAAATTATCAAATCAATCAATCGACAAAAAAAAAATTTTAAAAATCAACTTCATTTTTTCCACTACCAGATGGCGACTAAAGTTTCATGAAGATAATTTGAATTTTATAATTTTTTTCAAGAATAATTTTGAAATTAACAAAAAAAATAAAAATTATTACAAATTGGAAATATCCCTGCCCCTCAAAATAGCAAAAAAAAAACTAAATTAAAAATAAATAAACAAAACACTGGATAATACTGGATTATTGGAATGTTTATAAATATAATCCGTTTTTCCAGGCAACAAAAAAAACGAACGATGACGAAATGAAAAAAAAAATCCCGATAATCCATCCATCCATCGAATAAATTCGATACATTTATTTTCCGTTTATATATTTTCATTTTTCTCACCAAATGTTCAAATCCAATATCAATGGCAATCAAATAGTGCACAACAAAATTTTTTTTTTTTTTTGTTACTTATCAATCAATTAGAAAACTGAAGATAAACTTTCATCAAATTTTCATTTTCTCTTTCTTCTCTCTCTCTTTTTGATTATCATTTGAAATTGTTCACACTTGGAAATTATCAAAAAACATTTTTTCTGTTCTGTTTTTTCTTTTGTCGGGGATAAGAATCATCATCATCATCATCATGGTCGTCTGGATTATTTATCTAATCGAAATTTCGTCGAGTGAGAAAAACGAATGAGAAAAATTGAATTTCGAATCGATTTGTTTGTTTTTGTTTGATTTCGATATTGGATATATTTCATTTCTCACGATCGAAAATTAACAGTAAAAAAAACAGAAGTAAAAAAAACAAAACAAAAAGTGTGTTTCACTGATAACAGCCAAATTCAATTTTAAATTTTCCAGAATGTGTGTCTTAGGTCATCATCGTAAAAAAAATGTTTCAACTAGAAAAAAAATTGTTTGTCATTTTTCATTCAATCTACAGATATTTTTATCACCAGCAAATCATATCACTATTCATCAAGATCCAAGTTCGTCGTTGTCGTTATTTTTTTTTCGTTCGGAAATTTCCTTCAAGAAATCAGAAGTGTTAATATCACAATCACCAACACACACACACTATAAATATCTTTAGTTTGAAAATGAAAAATGAAATGACACAAAGTGAGAATCATCTTTCTTTCTGTTTCCCTCCCCCCCAAAGACAAACAAACAAACAAACAAAAAAGCCATATAAAGATTTGTCAAATTTGATAAGTTTTGAATGAAAAACGACTGAGAACTACAAACGACAAACGAATAAAGATAATATTTTTGTGTTGTTTTTCGGTGTAATAATAATAATCCACCCCCGCTACATTAAAGTGACATGATGATGATCCTGATGATGATGAACTTTGACATAAAATACGAAAACAACAACAAATCTTATTGAAATGAATCGTCAGTCAAAAAAAAATGAGAAATTTTCCAGGATTTTTTTTTTTTAAATTTAGAATCGTTTCGCCTTTTCTTCTTTCTTTCCTCTCACAAAAACTCCTCAATTCTTTTTGATTTTTTTTCCACTAAAATCATCGTTGTTTTTCATTATTCAAATGATTCAAATGTTAGCTAACAACAACAACAAAATTCAAAAATTCAAAGAAAAATTATCAAAAAAATCTTATCTAATCTAGAAAATCTTTGTCACAGACACCACCACCACTGTGTAATGGGAAACTGTTTGAAAGAATTTAGATAAGATTTTTTTTTTGCGAAAAAAAATATTTTCCCTTATCTTTTCATTCAATTCAATTCGACATTGACAGATGGAGAATTTTTTTCGTTTTGTTTTTTTACACCAGCAGCAAGAAATCAACTAAACTAAACTGAATTATCATTGGAAAACAAAATCTTGTCAAAGGTCGAATTCAGAATGAATGGTAATCGTGTTTGGTGGATGATAATGATAATGATTTTTGAAAATCTTTTCTTTTTTTTTGCAAAAACAAAATCACCTGCTCCAATAACAAATGAATGGCGACAAAGAAGAAGATGATAATTCGGGGTTTTTTTGTTTTTGATAATTTTTTGGGTCAAATTTGTTTAAAATTATCATCACCGGCATTGAAACCAAAAATCGATTTAAAAAATTCAAATTTAAACCAGAAAATCAAAAATTGGCACGTGTTACACACACGTACCATCATCACCACCTTGATATTCCGGCAGATGCATGTAATTTTTTATTCAAAGTCCGTAAAAAAACACATTCCGTTATCAAATTAAAACTAACCAAAAGAAAGGAAAAAGGATGGGTCCAATTCTAATTAACTTTACCTGGCTGGCCTTCATCATCATCATCATCATTATCATTGTCGTCATTATCGAGAATTCATCACCTGCTCTGCTCTGTTTTTTTTTTCGTTTTTCTAATCACCCACCCAGCAATAACAATAGGGAAAAATTTTTTTCCCGTCAAAAGTCATCATTCTGGACCATTTTTTTTTTTTAATTCACAAACACTGTTGCGCTTTTTTTTACTAAAAAAAATAAATTTCCCCAGTAATGAGATTAATTAATCAAATTAACAACCAACCAATCAACCTTATGAATGGTCAAATGGTTAAAAACAGGACCAGACAAGGATTTTTTTTTCATCGTTTTTCAAAATTAGATTGATGATGATAATGATTATTAACCATTAGTTATAGTCATGGGTCAATCATCATCATCATCATCTACATATTCAGGTAACCGGTAGCAGCGCCAATTAAAAAAACAACCAAAAAAAATCGTGAATCAACAATTTAAATTCCATAATTTTCGAAAAAAAACCAGCGTAGAAAATTCCTATTTGGTTAAATTCAGTGAAAAAATCGTGATGAATCACTGAATTTGCAATATTGCAACATAGAGAGAGAAAGTGAAACAAACAAAACAAAGAGAAAAAACTGTTTTTTTTACAGAAGCAAATTGCAATTTTAGAAAGAAGCAAATGAATTCAGGATGTGTCTGTATTTGGAATTTTGTTAATAGGTTTTTTTTTTGTTTTGTTTTCATATATGATAATGATGAACAGTTGTTTTCCGTTGTTTTGTCGCATTCTTTCAAATCATCGTCATTATAATTATTTCTGGTTTTGGCTATTTACCAACTAAATAACCAGCAACCCAATGAATGAATGAATGAATGAAGATTATTCATCCATTTCCTAAATTTAAAAAAATGAAAAAAAAGCATTTTGTTTTGTCATACACAAAATGAATGAATGAAAATTTGTCGAGAATTTCATTGAAGTTTTTTCGGAATTTTGACCAAAAAGAGGTGATTTTTTGCCTTTTGGTTTGATGCTGTCCTTGGTTGCTTGGTTGGTGATGAAACAAAAAAAAAGCCGAAAAAGGATGATCATCATCAGGATCATTAGTTAACCATTCATTCATTTGAATTTGAAGAAAACCAAAATGATGATAATGATAATTAGTAATGATCGGTCGCTATTTCCCTCTCTCTCTCTCTCTCTCTCTCTCTCTCTCTCTCTCTCTCCCTCTCTATTGGATTTTCATCATTTTAAATTGGAATTTTTTT